GGTTAGGTTTAGGGTTAGGTTAAGGGTTAGGTTTAGGGTTAGGTTTAGGGTTAGGTTAAGGGTTAGGTTTAGGGTTAGGTTTAGGATTAGGATTAGGTTTAGGGGGGGTTAGGTTTAGGTTTAGGGGTTAATTTTAGGTTTAGCGTTTACAGCATGCTTCTGTCTCCGCGCTGTTGTCGCCCTGTTGATGACGTCAGCGACGCGGTTTAATCGGGCACGCTTTAGTCGAGCGCGGTTTTGTCGTGCCACGGACCTGGATGACTGAGAATCTCCATAGACAGGAACAAACAGAAAGTTTTGCAACATTCCTGTTTGTCATAGACCAGTGTTTCTCAACCTTGGCAACTTGAAGATGTCCGGACTTCAACTCCCAGAATTCCCCAGCCAGCATTCGCTAGCTGGGGAATTCTGGGAGTTGAAGTCCAAACATCTTCAAGTTGCCAAGGTTGAGAAACACTGCCATAGACTCTCAGGTGGAGCTGAGAAGAAGTACCATATCCTAAGCAACCCTGCTACCCTTTTGGTCAGTGTCTAAAACAATACCTTCAGCCGCTCCTGCTTGTTGCTTTCTGGACCATTCCACTGGACAATGATTTTACCCAGATCTAAGAGGAACACATCACCAAGGTTAAAGCTGTCCCAGCTTATCTCCACCTGCAGATGAGGGGCGTACAAGAGCAGACAGGGAACGATCAAGAGATGCAGTCAGCCGTAGTGTGCGGCTTATGTGAAATGCAGGAGCCGAACCATGGTTGGGGCTCAAGCTCACCTCTTTGGCCATAACGTTCCTTTTCCCTTTGACATGTAGAAGCCGCTTGACATTGTAGACATTGCTCTCTACGTGGTTGAAACCAGATGCCCGGCCTCCTTTCTTGTAGCTGTCCCAAGTTAGAGGAAAAGGAAAAAAGATATGACAGCCAGATAAACTGGATAACAATTATTGAGGATTAAGAATACTTAATTTTGATTTTGTGCTAAAGATGACCCTTAGAGATTTACACAAGCAATGCCATGTGTGTGTGTGAGTGTGTGTGTGTGTGTGTGTGTGTGTCTGTCTGTCTGTGTAGGGACAACCAATTCCCACCAATATAATTCTCTGTCAATTACTGTCAAGGAGGGGTGGAGGATGTTTTAAGTCCACAGTGGGAAAGCCTGTTGTTTGCACCTACTGTGGCATCGTGGCACGTCAAAACCGCGGTCCACTAAAGCGCGCCCGATTAAAGCGTGTACGTGACATCAGCAGCAGCGCGACAAATACGACCG